TCGGACTGTGTTCAGACAACGTGTACGACAGCCAATCGGCTGCTGGAAAGCAAAGTCCACTTGGACTGTGCTCTTACAATGCATCTGCGTTGCAGCAACCAGCATTGACCTTCCCCCGTCATCTCTGTCAGACATTAAGAGTAGGTCGGGCCTGTCCCCCTACAGGCGGACCCTGGGCGAAAAATGGAAAAGTGTCAAAAAGTACTCCCAAATGGTTAGAAATGGTCCAGACATCGTCCACAGACTATTACTATTTTTAAAAAAATCCTCATGCAGAGGGACAGGACCGACTCAACATTAACATGCAATCTGCCCGCATCGACCGAGCAGGTGCGTCTTGTACCACACCGCAGCGGCGAATGCCGTGCAGGGCCACACGCGCGAGCCCCCCCGGGCACGCTCACCCACATCGCCCGACAACCGCTTCTTGAACTCCAAGACTGATATCTTGCGCACGCACACGTCCTCCTTCTCCTCCTCCTCCTCCTCCTCCGCATCGTTATCAGCAACACCTTCATAATCGTCATCAGCATCGTCAGCATCATCGCCATCACCATCACCATCACCAGCATCATAATCATCATCATCATCATCAGCAGCAGCAGCATCATCATCACAATCATCATCACCATCCATAACCATAATCGTCATCACTATCAGCATGAGCATCATCAGCATCATCATCATCCTCCTCATCATCATCATAAGCATCATCATCATCACCACCACCATCATCATCATCAGCATCATCAGCAGCATCATCATCAGCTCCAGCACCAGCGCCAACACCATCACCATCATCATCAGCAGCATAATCTTCACTATCATCAGCATCATCATCATCATCATCATCATTGTCCTGATCATCATCATCATCATCACCATCATCATCATCATCATCATCATCCTCGTCAGCATCATCTGCAGCATCAGCATCACCATGATCATCAGCATCAACGCCATCGCAATCATCATCGCAATTACCATCGTTGTCAGTCATCAGCATCACAATCACAAACACCATCGTCGTCATCGCAATCATCGTCGCAACCGCCATCATCATCACTGTCATAATCATCGTCGTCGTCGTCATTGCCGTTATTGCCATCGTTCTCATCATCATCAGCATCAGCATCAGCATCATCATCAACCTCAGCATCATCATCATCACCACCACCACCATCGTCATCAGCATCGTCATCATCAGCGTCACCATCGTCATCACCATCATCATCAGCAGCAGCATCAGCATCAACGTCAGCATCATCATCACTCGCCCGCCCAACTCATACATGCATACGTAGTATAGGTCTGCTTATATGTACATATACGTATATAACAATATCCGCCGGCCCCCTCCGAAGGCGCAAGGCTGCGAAGGTGTGTGCGGTCCGTTGTCATATGTGATGTGTTGTCTTTTGTTGGATGGCCTTTTGTCTCTCCAGTCTTGCTTCTTGCCTCCTGTTTACTGTCTGCTAAGGGGCCCCGCAGCGTCACCAAACAGCTTGCGGGGGGGGAACCTCAAATCCTGGCTGCTCCGGGCCACCCCAGGATTCTCATGGTGACGCCACCGCGCGGCCAGAACGGCCCGAGAGGCCTCCAAGATTGCCCGAAGAGGCCCCGAAGAGAGCCTCAGGAGCCCAAGACGGCCCAAGTTGGCCGTCAGACGTCTCACCATGGCCCCGGGACGGCCCAAGATGCTGCCAGGACGGCCCAAGAGGTCCCCAAGAGGCCTCCCAAGAGGGCCCACGCAGCAAGAACCAACGCTTGTCCTGCGTTTTTGAAGGCTTTTTGCCTTCTCGCCCTGTCGGCTCTCCGACGCTCCGAGACGGACCAAGAGGCTCCCAAGATCGCCCCGCCACGGCCCCAGAAGCTCCCCTGGCGGCCCAAGAGGCGCCCCAAGACGGCCCCAAGACGGCCCCTGGGGGCCCCACTACGGCCCCAGGGGGCCCCAAGACGGTCCAAGATGCGCCGCCCTAAGACGGTCCCAGGAGAGGCCCAGGAGGGAGTCCACGGACCGAAAACTCTACCTTTCCGCCCCGAGAGGGCCCCAGGAGGTCCCAAAAAGGTCCCAAGAGGCCCCAGGAGGCCCCCAAGAGGCCCCAAGGAGACCCCCAAGAGACCCAAACTATCCCCCAAGAGGCTCCGAAACAGCTTCCCAGAAGCTCCAACAATGACCTGCAGACGCTGCCGCCGAGAAGCCTGCCACGAGAAGCACCCACGGCGCTATCTGCGCAGCCGCACACACGAGTAATAGGGAGGCCCGCGAGGCCGGCGGCAGAGGGCGAAGCCCTTCACATGTGCGGCCGCTCCCGCCCGGCGGGCTGGGCCCTGCGAGACCTCTCTGACAGAGTGTGTGGCACAATCTTTGGCCCCCTTCGCCAGGGCCTGGGCGAAAACCTGCCCGAAGTCCCCCCGAGGGGGCCCCACCCTTCCGGCGGACACCCCCTCTCCCATGGGGCCTCTGAAGGTCCGGACCAGCCCGGGGGCGACCCAAGAGCGCCCCAAGCCGGTCCAAGAGAGTCCCAAGACGGTCCAGGAGAACCTCCAGACGGCTCCAGATCGCTCCAAGACGCCCAGGACTGCCTCCAAACGGCCCAAAACGCCTCCAAGACGGCCCAAGAGGCCTCGAAGTGCACCCCCAGGAGAGCCCCAAGAGACAAAAACCATTGATGTTTCGATGGTTTTGGAAGGATTTTCACGTTCTCGCCATTTCGGCTTACCGACGCTCCAAGGCGGCCCAAGAGGCCCCCGAGATCGCCCCAGGACGGCCCAATAAGCCCCCAAGAGGTCTCCAAGACAGCGAGGGCCCCAAGACGGCCCAAGAGGCCCCCGGGACGGCCCAAGAGGTGCCCCCAGGACAGCCCCAAGAGGGCGCCCAGAAGGGGAACCCGAATGAACAGTTCGAGCTTTCGGTCCCAAGAGGCCCCCAGGAGGCTCTAAGAGGCCCCCAGGAGGCCCCCAAAAGACGCCAAGAGAGCCCCAAGAGGGCCCCAACAGGCTCCCAAGAAGCCGCCAGGAGGCCCCAAGAGGCCCCTAAACTCCCCCCCAGAGGCCCCCGAGAGCCCTCTCGAGAGACCCCAAGGAGCGGCCATGAGGACTCCGACCCAAAACCCAAGCACGGTAGCGGGATGGGCCGACGGCCATTTGATAGCTGGCATACGAGCCGCGTCACGACTTTCGATGCTGCGCGCCAGTTCGGCAAACTCCCAGGGAGCGGGCGGTGATGCACCGCCGGCGTCCTCAATAGTTGTACCCCTCCAAACACGCACACTAGAAACATTCGCGCGCGCTCCGCGCGCGCTCTAGGTCCAGGTAGCTCCAGGCGCTGGGAAATCCATACTGAATCATGTTCGACTCCTCACGCTCTGACTGCCCTGCTTGTCTTGCTCATCTGTTTGTGGCTGTCGTCTCCCGTCATGATTATTCGTACCTTCCCCTGCCTGCTGCTGCTTTTATCAACCCTCGTCCAGGCAGGCGAGAGGGTGCATATTGAAAAACAAAGAAATGAGTGGAAGGAAAGCGGAGGAATGAGGCAGCCAGAAGGCAGGACGGAGACGGGAGGATGGCTGACCGGGAGGCGTGAAAGGTAGGCAGATATCAGGATGATTTGAGGGGAAGGAGGCAGGATAGGTAGGAGTCAGGATGGGAGGAGGAACGGACAAATTGCCTCACCGACCAGAGGGGGGGTGCAGCTCCCATTCGACACATCTTCGGGAGGGTCCCCACTTCCTGACGCTCCTTCTCCTTCTACTCCTCATTCCGCATCCTTCACTCTCTCATCTTCTCCTCCTCGTCTGCCTGTTCGAGAATACTCGACCCAGTCGCCAGTGTGCCCGGGTTGCGGGTCATAAGTCCTGTCGGTGTTCGCTGGGATGTCGTGTAAGGGTTCTCGGGGGCGCTCTAACGGCACTATGTAATCCGTTTGGGCGCTGTTTTGAAGTCTCTTGGGGCGTCCTGGGGGGCTCTCGGGGGCCTCTTGGGGCCTTTGGGGGGCTCCTCGGAGCATCTTGGGGCGGATAGTTCGACTTGTTGGTTCGGGATCCCGCTTTTGGGCCACTTTGGGAGCTGTCTTTGGGCTCTCTTGGGCTCGCTTGGGCGACTCCTGGGCCGTCTCGGGGCTCTCCTGGGCTATCTTGAGGCGCTCTTGGAGGCCTCTTCGGCTATCTTGGGGCGGTCTTGGGGTCTCCATGGGCCGTCTTCAACGCCGTGAAGTCAGAAAAACAATAAATGCTAAAAGGAACACTTTCCCATGGGAATAAGACAACTGTGGCGTGTTGGCGCGCTCTTGGGAGTGCTCCTGCAGGCCTCGCGGTGCGTCTTGGGCGGTCTCTGGGCACGTCTTGGGGCCATCTTGGGCGTCTTGCAGCTTTTCTTCGGTGATTCGGATCCCTCCTGGGCGAGGCCACTTTCTATACACCACCACCGCCCGCAACAGTAATTTACCACAAAAAGGGTTAGGGGCAGGGTCATGCCAGACGACGCTGCGACGCCACGGCGAAAAGGAGCGCAGCGCAGCTCGCAGGCGCCGTGTCATGGGGAGTTCCTGGAGCAGAAACAGCACTTCTTGGTGGTGGTGAATAAAAATCGCTCCTCTTGGAAACCAACATTTTTAAAGACCACCACCGCGCGCGCCTTGATGAATTCACGGTGGTTTAGGGGCCCCTCCTGCCGCGTCTTGAGGGGCACAGGTGCCCAGCCACCGGCATGGAGATGCAGGATTTGCCCCCGAGGCCCCCTGCCCTGGACCCCGGGTATGTGTATATATATATATATATATATATATATATATATGTATACTATACATACACATATGGAGAGAGAGAGCGTGAAACAATACGAGTGAGAGAAAGAGAGAGAGAGAGAGAGAGAAAAAAAAAAAAAAAAAGGGAGAGAAAAAAGAGTGGGATAGAGAGAAAGAGAGAGAGAGAGAGAGAGAGAGACACATGAATTTGTATGATTATCCTCCAACCCCCTCGCTCCCCCCACAAGTCGGGATCCTCATCGGCGGATCGTGCCTCTCACCGAAGCTATCGACTTCCCTCGGCCGGTCGAAGTATGACCGGACCTGAGGCCCGCGGCCGCGGCCGCGGCCGCGGGCCGCGTGCAGGCCTCGCCCCTCTTGGGCGAAGAGGAGGGAGAGGGGAGGAGAAGGGAGGGGAGGGGGGGGAGGGGAGGGGAGGGGAGTGGAGGGGAGGGGTGGGGTGGGGAGGGAGGGAGATGGGGGGGGAGACGGAAACGGGGAAAGGAGTGGAGGGGAGGCTGACGGGGAGGGGGAGGGGGAGGGGGAAAGCAAGGGGAGGTGGGAGGGAGGGATGAAAGGGGTGAGGGAGGGGGAGGAAGAAGGGAAGGTGCACGAGCGAGGGCGGTGGCAGAGCCGGGGGCGAAGGGGAGGAGGGGGGGGGCGGAGAGGGACATAAAGGTCGGGCGCGGCCTAGGCCGCCCCTGACGAGGGGCGAGCGGAACGGAACGGAACGCCCGTGCGTGCATGCGCCTCGGCCCCTTAAGGGCGAGGCGGGCGAGGCCTTGGCCTCGCATGAAAATTGCGTGCGTCGGGCGCCTGCCCAGGGAGACGTGCGGTTCACGAAGATGTCTTCCAACAACTCCCATTAGTTTGCTGTAGCTGGATGTAACCACGTGGTGTCACTGAGGTCATAGTGCCTTCGCGGTGTTTGGTTTCGGGCGTCTGCGCCGTGAGGATGGTAGAGAAACCAGCGAATACATCATCGTCCCCTGAAGAGGGGCGAAGGGACTAGAAAGGTAGAGATGGACCCCGTCACTCTGATCACCCTGGTCTTCCTGATCCTCCTCCTCATCCTCCTCACCCCCTCGTCCTCATCCTCCTCCTCCTCCTCCTGATCCCCCTCCTCCTCCTCCTCCTCCTCATCCTCCTCCTCCTCCTCCTCCTTTTCCTCCTCCTCCTCCTCCTCCTCCTCCTTTTCCTCCTCCTCCTCCTCATCCTCCTCCTCCTCCTCCTCCTCCTTCTTTGATCCTTTCCATCCCAGCGCTTTTCCTCCGCCTCGGTCTCTGGGGCCGGCTGCTGGGCCCCATGACGATCAACAGCGGACCCAGGACGCACATGACTGCCCCCGGGAAAGGGCCGCGGGCTGGAAACAATCGGGTCGGAGGACATCGGGGGGGGATATCCAAGGAGGAGGAGGAGGAGGAGGAGGAGGAGCTCGCTCGCTCTCACCCATTCAGTGCAATGTCTTATCAGTCTCCTATTCGCAGAACCTGGGGGGATACAACTTATCTGTACCCCCTTCATCTCGCTCGCTCGGAGAGCCACACGCGCTGGCAGATGCAACATTTAGTTGCCTGCGCGGGGGCCTGGTCGTTGAACTCAACGGGCAAGGCACAAAATCGGGGAAGTGTTAAGCCTGTCGCTTATCTCATTCATCTCGTGCACCGTTAGATCCTTACGAGCGGCAAAGCGGGAGGGCAGAGCGGCGGAGCCTGAAGGAAGTAGCAGTCGTGGGAGACGTAGAACGGCAGCAGTGGCAGGTCCGATCCAGCAAGGACAAGACCAACATATCCACCGCTGTTAATTAGGCTGACACGGGGTCCTGGGAAACAAATGATCAAACGAGCCCTAGCACATGCCCGACTACCGTCACCCAGCCGCCGATAGGCGACCTGGTCCCCCAAGGGACGGCCACAACGCTCCAACGACGCGTTGCAGCGGTGACGGTGCCGAGCAGGCACACTCGGATGGAGTCGCAGACTCAGTTCCTCAGAAATCCAGATTCCCCTCCCGGGGGCCTCGGCCGTTAGGCCTCGGCCTGGGAGAGGTTCCAGGAGCCTGCGACACAGGCGAGACCTAGCCAGGGATCATCTCACACGGTCGTCGATGGAGGAAGCCACGTTGGAATGAAAAAGATCACTTCAGCTCGGGAAAAAACACCCCATCATGCAGAATTAATGCTTCATCAGTCTGCGGGCCATGGTGCCACGAGGTGCGCGGCTAGATGTGATACCTCCACCAGCTGCTCTGATAAGTTCAGACACTATTGTTTCAATTCCCAACACCTAGCCCTTCAACATGCAAAAACTCGTCCGATTCTCTAGCGGCGTCTGCTGGTGCACCTGTCTGTCGGTTTCGCTGATGGCCTTGAGCAGCTCTGTTGCTGTGCCCTCGTCGTCGGGCACCAGCGCTCGCCCGCGCAAGCTGAACAAAAGGCGCGACGTATTCGGCTTGTTGGGTTGGTCGAAGCACGGGAAGACTGCTGTTTCTCGCACCCGCTGTCCTGTGAGATCTGGGCCTGCTTGCTCCAACATCTCGCGGGTGCGTAGGGCCGCGAACTTGGGCCGCGATATCCTCGCCGAAGCGCCCTTGCACTGCCAACTGCCTAAGACGTTCAGAGCCGCGTAGATGGCTTGGCAAGCTGGCGAACCAAGATTGACCGATGGGTCGTTCTTCCTTTCCATGGCGCACTCCGCATATGATTTGCGGACGCCCGCCACTGCCTGATGAGCCCTGTCCAAGATTACTGTCGTCATCGCCTCGTGTTCCAGAAGCCGCACTCGGGCCTCCAGCTGAACGATGGCGTTCTTCATCAGCAGGAAAATCGTCTCGTCGTCCGTATCTTCGCCCTCTGCCTCCCCGTCGATCCGCGCCTTCTTCTTGTCTTTTGCCCGTCTCCGCGAAGCTTGCTGCGAGCTCGATGGAGCCACGATGTTGGTTTCTCCGTCAAGCCGTCGTCGCCCGGCACTGAGTCTGGGCGCCCACCCTGGGTCGAGCAACTTGGCCCACGAGGTAGTCGAGCTCCGCGGAAGTTGCTGATTGGACTGCGCTGCTGTCTCGTGCTTGGTAAGATGCCGAACGTGAAACGAGGGAGAAGAGCACGGTTCCAAAGGATCACGACAATGCCTGAACCACAAAACAATATCGCCAAAACTCTCGTCACAAATCGGACGCGTCATCTTCTTGGGAGGGGCAACTTCACATGCATACCTTCCACGATCGCACGGGCAGCACTGACGTTCCAGGCCGTCTGCAACATGCTTCTTTGCAATTTCGGCACTCAAGAACACACTGTCGCACAACGCGCACATGCCAGTAGTGGTGAGTATACGTCCTACATGTAGTTGTCCGCGGCTGCCTCCCATAGCGTTCACGACGCGCTTAGTGAGCATGCGTTGTGTAGGCCATGTCGTGTTACATGTTTCCTTGCATGTGAACTTGCTCTCATAACGAGCTTGCTTGTGCTTGCTGGTGGTAAGCGTAGCAAGAAACTTAGCACGTAGTTCATCCAAATCAACCTTGACGAAATCCTCGTAATCCTCAAACATGATGTGTCTCAGGCTCCCTCCGATGTTCCACATCGTCTCCCCAACCTCCAACTCCTTCAGAGCCTCCAGATCATCCTCACAAATTCGCCGAGGACCCCGCTCGCCCGTAGCTGGGTTGCGTCTGCAACCACAGCGTTGGGTGCGCGCCGAAGCCTGCGCCGCGCCGAGAGGGCGCGGGCGCCACGAGGCCTCGGTGCTGGTCGCAGCACGACCCAGCAACGGGCGAGAAACGGGGCGGGCACGGGCGGGTCAAATCCCGAGCGCGGGGCGCGCGCCCCAGGCACACACAAACCTATGGTACCTGCGCGCGGCCGCGGCGGGCAGCGGCCGCGCGCGGGGGCGCGCGGGCCCGCCCACATCGCCTGCGGCGCGCCGCGGCGCGCGCGAGGCAAGCGGCGGCGCGGCGACTGCTCGCGCCTGCGTCCGCCGCGTGCGCCAGGGGCCAGCGAATGTGCGCGATGGAACCAGGGGCCGAACTCGTTCCATATACGCAAATTCGCTGAGCACCCCATTCACCCGTGGCTGGGTTGCGTCTGCAACCACAGCGTTGGGCGCGCGCCGAAGCCTGCGCCGCGCCGAGAGGGCGCGGGCGCCACGAGGCCTCGGTGCTGGTCGCAGCACGACCCAATGCAACGATGCGACCAGCGCCGTGCGCCGCTCACCCGTTGCGCACGCGGAGCGCGGCGCTCGGACGCGCGCCGGGATGTCGCAGCCACACTAGGTGTCTGAGCTGCTGTCAGAGCTGTCCGAGCAGTCGGACGCGGCGTTGCGCGCGGCCGCTACCCTCTCACTTTCGACCCGGACGCGGTCGATGTAAGCCAGGTAGGCGTTCGACGCCCAGCCTCCACGTTCCTTCATTACTGCGGTCGGTGCACCCGCGCGATCGATGTCATCGGCGTGCCCCCTTGTGCGCGCGAGAGGGGCGGAGGGATGTGCGCGCCGAGCCGCGCGGGCGGTCGCGGGTCGCGACCTTCGTATGTCGTGGGTGCCGAATAGGTCGGCACTGTCCACGCCTATCCTGGACAATAGGGACCGAAGGATACGCCGGGCATCCGACCCTGAGAACTGCGCGAACGGCTGAGTGCCTACTGCTGTGCCGCGCAGCAACGGAGGCAGCGCGCGCACGGCGCGCGTCGCGGCGCGCGCGCGGCACGAACACCTCCTGCGGAGTATCGACGCGCACGGCTTGTTTTTCCGCCTTGGCAACCAGAGGAGTGCCTCGTCTGCCGATATGGCCAACTCCGCCTAGCGCGTTCGGCGCGTGCGCGGGTGCCCCAGCGCGCGCGCTTCCAGACGGCGCGGCCCGCCGTGCGGCCGCGCGACAGAGCGTTGCCGCACCACGGGATGGGTAAACACTCGGATGGTAGGCGAAGCAGGAAAATGTACGTAATGAGAAACATGGTGGATGCCACCTGCGCGACCGCTGGGTTGACTGGCGAATGCCGCGCGGCGGCCCCGCCTTTTCTTCTTCGCTGCGACCATGTAGGCCAAGTAATTGCGCACTCATAGCGTCACGAACGAAGCGCGGTTCGCGCGGCGTGTGTCCGCCACGCCGCACAATGGCTGCCTTGGCCTTCCTGGGCGCGCGACGCGCGGCCACGCGCGCGCGGTGGCGCGGGGGGCCGACGCCGGAGCAGCCGTCTGTTGCCGAAGGCGCTCGTGTCCAGGCGTAGCACTTCGCACGCTGTCCACACGCGCCCGCAATAATTCCGGAACGTGCCCGCGCAAGAGAAAGTGCCCGACCAGCACAACGTATCGTCCTGGGCGCACGCCGCA